TGTGTCTTCCAAAATTTCACTGTTTTATCATCTGACACTGACACTAAAATTGATTTTATTTTATATAAGTAATGATTATAAATAATCGTTATAGATATAATATAATATAATGATATGTCACACTTGAATTTTTTTATTGATTTACCTAAAAAGTCACCAGATTTATCAAAATCAAGACCCCAAACTGTACTTTCATGACCTTTTAATGTGTCAGCACAACACCAATCATCGTCATCCTCTTTCCATATTTTAATTGTATCATCATAACTTGCTGATGCCAATACCTTTAACAACAAAGATTTATTAATTGATAAAAACATAAAGTAATAATAATAGTAACAGTGATAATTACTTCTTGTGTAGGATGCCATACAACCATTTTAACATCTTGTGTATGTTCTTGCAAAACGCTTAAACACTCAAAATCATTATCAGAAGCTAAAAATATATTTGTACATAAATCAATTAATAACTTTTTTATAAAAAAAATAAAAAATAAAAAACTCATTTATTACCTACCTTCCCATATCCAAACGCTCTTATCACGACCACAAGTAGCAATTAATGTTCCTGTTAAAGACCATGCAACTGATTTAGTTTCATTTTCATGACCTTCTAAAGTTGCAACATTCTCAAACTCTATTATTAAACCAATCAATCATTTATAATTAGTAAGAGTTGTTATTATTATTACACACTTTATCTATCTACATGCTTTCACATATTCATTTTCTCTTGGTATCAATTTCTCTCAAACACTCATATATCCACATTCTTACCTCCAGTTTCTTCATCTTTTTCCCAAATAGTAGTTTTAGAATCAAAACTAGCAGCTGCTAATTGTTTACCATTAGGACTCCAACTAACGCTTCTTATTGTCCTATTATGAACACCTTCCAACACATTAACACATGTCCAATGTGATAAATCATCATCATTATTTTTTTCTCCGTGTTGTTTTTGTAATGCCCATAATCTGATAGTTTTATCACTGCTACATGATGCCAGTATATTTCCTGTATGTGACCACGCAATTGACCAAATTCTATCAGAATGTCCTAATATATTATATTTACATAATTTGTATTATTATTATTTATATATATATATATATAAAATAAGATTTTCATTAATTCCTCTTTAACCTTGAAGTTCTGCAACTTGTACTAATCGTGGAAGCATTTTTTATATTATCATTTCAAAAAAACAATAGATGATCAACATCTTATTATTTGTGGAAAAAACAATGAAATGATCATCACAGTATATTATGGAGGGAGATGTTCATGCATATTATGACATGCTAATACATTGATAGTGATTGAATGTAGGCCGTAGATTATTTTTTCTAAAAAGGCTTTAGTATTAGAGAATAATTTTAGTAAAACGGCGAATTAAAAAAATTATCAATATATTACAACAAAACCAGACGAAGTGAACATTATGTCACAAAGAAATTTCAGGGTTCAAAATGAATGATATTTGTTAATAAATAATGTGATTGCGATCTCATAATACTTTTTTAATAGATCAATAAACTCATGCTGCGGTTACTCTTAACCTCGACTTAGTTAGTGTCCAATTCGTTTCACACTGGCTTAC